TCAGCAGCGAGGTGAAAGCAATGTCTTTCTCACAGAGGGGTGTAAAACCTGTTACTCCCCTATTCCTTGTATATTAGTGGAGCCAGGCAAAGGAAGGGGTTATTTCTGTTCATAAGAGCACTTAATGTGAGTAATACGTTGTCAGTTAGAAATTCCCATCACCCTAGCAAAATGTTTACAAAGTGGCAGCTGGCAGGAATATAATCTGCATAATTATCCTGATTACAATAATCTTGTATCAAACAAAACTTTTACTTAAATCTTATTTTTATGTCCATGATTAAATATGAATTCCGCAAAAAAGTAAATAAAGTTATCATTTGTTGCCTAAAACAAAGGAAATCACAAACAATTCAGACTGCACTTGAAAAGCACTGTGATCCTTGACTTGTTTGGGAAATATTTCATGAAATACTTTCAATGGGTAGGTGTGTTAGGAGTAAATAATTTTCCCACATGTGCTGTTCCACAGTGACTTGGGAAGTACTCAAGCAGAGACAGGAAAACTAAAAATTTTTTGTAAAGGCTGTGTAAGATATCTGAAAGGTACATTTTTAAAGGAGTTGAAATCAGTAGTAAAATTTCATATTCACTTTGTTGACTGCTGAAGTTCAATCTCTGATGCATCTTCCAGCCTTCTCTGATATTGTCTTTCTGACGCTTTTCTACGGTAGACATCATCTGTATCAAACAAAAGTTTTACTTAGATTTTTAAGAAACTGAGGAATTAAAAATACCCAGATCTGAGTATTTAACCAGTAGTCTAGGTCTGTCACCTACTTCTGAATCTCAATGTTTAACTCAATGCCAAACTTAATTTAAAACAAAATGAGTTAAATGAGGACTATGTTAATGGCATTCTGCACTTTAATAGCAAGATAAGAGTCTGTGTCTTCAAAAATAGGATCATGTCCTAGCATATCTCTTAACGTTTTAAGCCTTCTCTCACTTCCTTATCCCCCACAATTTCTATTCTCTCTGAAATCATCCATCTTAATTGAAACCTGGCCCCTTCAAAGGCCTTTCCTAACCTGCAGCTCTCTGTTGCTCCCTCTCCCATGCCTGGGAACTCAGAGTGGGGTGGTGAGGTCAGTTTCCTTGTTCTCGGCTGCTGCTTTTCCAGCCTACTGATTCTCCACCCTCTTTATTTGGGGCTTATGCTATTTGCCACTATCTTCTCTGCACTGGCCCCTGCTCTCCACTCCTCTTCAATCACTAAAAACAGTATCTAGCTCAGGCTCCTTGATCCTGTTCTATGCCATCTTCCCAGACTGTAATACCACCACCCTCCACAGGAATGAAGTGCCAGCCACTTTCACCTCTGCCTTCTCCAGACTTCTGCTACCCATTGGCAGTATTCTTCTAGAGTAATAATGCATTCATTCTGCCCAGACCACAGCCCTTACTAGCTTTCTAGCCCTTCTGTCCTTGGACCTTTAGCAACTTCTTCCACAAGCCCTTGACCCCTCAGTCCCCTCTTGTTCTCTTCCTGCCCAAACCAGCTGAAATTCAGTCTCATTGATATCAACTTCTTGACATACCTTCAAAGTCCAACTACAGATTAATCCAACGTATTTCTGTTTCCATGCCTCAGTGTTTGCTTTGCACTGTGGTGGCAAACTGATGCATCTAACTGGGTCCACTATGATGCCTGACAATCCTATTTCCTCAGCCATGACCCTGACCTTTCTTCACCCCCAAATGGCTATGAACTCTTTCTTCACAGAGAAAAACCATCAGTAAAGAACTCTCCCAGCTAACTTTCAAGAGCTACTTCTACTGTCCTGCTCTGATCCCATCCTCTCCCACCTTACCTTCTCAAGGGCCAAGGTACCTCCAGCCTCTCTCCACCTTCTCTCTCCTGATCAGACTTACATATCTTCAAGTCTCTCCTGGTGGGGGAAAAGGGGTTTACCTCTCATTCGCATAGTCAAACTTTCTGAACCTCCTGTCTTCTGTGATAAACTTTCCTGGTTTCTCTCCCTGCCTCTCTGGCCACTTTCAGTCACCCTTAAAATGTTAGGGTTTGACTCTATCATAATCTGTTTGTGAATGACCTACAATACCAGATCTATGGCCCAGATTTGCCTCCTGGGCTTTAGCTCTCCACCTCAGTACATCTAAAACAGAGCCCGGGATTGTCCTACCCATGTTCCCCCTGCCCCAACTGTCCTACCAGAAACCTCCACGCCTCATCTCCTGAGTCCACACAAGCTCTGTCAGGGGTGTCTCTCAACTCCACCCACTCTTGGCATCCCTTCTGATCCACCCTGGACCAGGCCACCATCTCAAACCTGAACAACCACACAGCCTAAGTGTTCCTGCTAATCTCTCCACAAGAAGCCATTGTGTTAATCCACTGCCACTTAAAGACCTACAATCTTTTGGGATACATTCTTGGTTCTCCAGTCCCTCAAACAGCACTTTCACACCAAGGTCCCTATGTGTGCTCTTACCCCTGGCATTAGACACTTTCAATGCCACAAACGTTACCCTCATCTGACTGACAGCTACTCAATCTTCAGGTCCTACCTGACATGGTAACTCCTCCTGGAAGCCTTCCCTGCACCATCTAGTCCTGCACCCAAGACTCCCATGTTCCCCTCACAGCACTCATCACAACAGTAACTGTCTTTATGATCTGTCTCTCCCATTAGAGCTCTTCTGGGATGGGAGACCTTCTGCCATAATCATTATATCCTCTCTCATCAGTGCTCATTGAATATTTATGAATGGATGAACAGAAAGGCTAAATATCTTCAGAAAGCATTAAGGTAACATTTTTCTCTCTGTTTTTTTTTAAGGAAGGTCAGCAGTTCATCAGTGATACAGTTTCTGGAAAGAGAAAAAGCAGAAAAGATCTAGGGGTTCAGAAAGATGGAAAAGATGAACTAGCCTGTCCAGAGCTAGTGCTCAACAAAGCAATGCCAGGCATTCTTTTCACAGAGCTGGGCTCTAGTGCCAATGACTCTGCCTGTAAAGACAGTGGTAATTAGCTAAGCTGGGCAGACCAGGTCCTTCCAGGGTGTGGACTGAAGAGTCCAGAGGACTGGCCAGTTAATAAGAGTTTCCATGAATCCTCAAGATCCCACCCCCTTCTACTGTGCAGTGAGTAAGTCTGTTCCTTAGGCCAAATGACACCAACAGGCTTTGAAAGGAAAGCGTCCTGAGTAGAGTCACATGCCCTGACCTCAGCGCATAGAAAGGGTTTCAAGGCTGGACGCCAAAGTGCCTTTGTTGTCCCACTTACAAGAGAGCCACGACAGGTCTCGACGGTCCAGTGAACAGAACCGTACTTGCCCTTCGGACCAGGGTAAAAGCAGTTCAGCGCTCTGAGTGGAACGAGCGACCTGCAACCTAGGAATATCCCCCAGGAAAATCCCCCATACCTCCTCCTGCCTTCCTGAAATGAAAAAGGAGGCTGCTGCATCCCCACTTACAGAAGGTCTCCTGGCCCACGCGTACTTTAATCATGATCCACTCCATCATTCCTCCCAGGACAAAAAAGAAGGGCAGAAACCTGTAGACGCCGAGTCGCTGCTTCCCCGGCACCTGCTGCAGTACCCGCCTCACCTGGGCCCTGGAAAACATGCCCTACCGAGGTCGCGGAGAGGGGTACGACGGAATCAAGAGCGACGAGAGCTGCGCCAGGCCCTGGACTGAAGCGCATTTAAGTCAAGGCTGTCTTGCCAGCCCTGGCAGAGTTCCGGGGTCTGGTCGCCAAACAACCCGAGCCCTACACCACCTCCAGAAGGGTGCAGATCTTCAGGAGCCTAGGCCAAGCTCCGGGCCGAGAACGTGGTGCGGCTCCACCAATCAGAGCACGGTGGAGCGCGGGAAGTCGCCAATAGAATGCGACTGAGCACGCGTGCTCCGTGAGGCCGAGCCCCGGCCTGAGGGAGCCTCCCGACGCAGGCGCCTCGGTTCTGGAGGCGGGGCGGCAGAGGGGGCGGAACCTCCCACGTGGCGTCGGCCTGGCCCCGTTCCCGGTTCCCCGCCCCCCGCCCCGTACAGCTAGCGCTGGAGTTGGTGACCGTACTCTGCCACCGCCATCTTTTTTCTTAAAGTCCTGATAGAAGTGATGACCCTTTCTGATGGATTAAACGTGTACTGCACCATAATCTAAAATGCAATCACGCAACGTCTTGTATTTATTTCGGAGTCGTAACTGGTAACTAGACTTCTAAAATTAGCAATTTGATAAGCATTGTTGAAAGCTGAACTTTATCATTATCACAAAAGTCTAGGTAAGAGTCTTGTGACAACCCTAAAATTAATAAAAGCTATCCTGTATTGGGCACTTACCGTTAGACAGGGACTTGTAGGTGCTTTTTAAGCATCATCTTATTCCCAATCACAGAAGAGCAGACTGGTTCAAAAGCATGGGCTTTGTCAAAGCGCATTCCCTTAGTTGG